AATTTTTCTATTTTTAGTAGAGATGGGGTCTCACTCTTGCTCAGTCCAGTCTTGAACTCCTGAGCTCAAGCTATCCTCCTGCCTAAGCCTCCCAGGGTGCTAGGATTACAGGCGTGAGCCACCGCGCCGGGCCAATTTTTTTTTTTCTATTTTTAGTAGAGACGGGGTCTCGCTCTTGCTCAGGCCGGTCTCGAACTCCTGAGCTCAAACAATCCGCCCGCCTCGGCCTCCCAAAGAGCTAGGATTACAGGCGTAAGCCACCGCGCCTGGCCTCAAAAGCCTTTTTTTGCTTCAACTGTAAATGTCCTTCCTTGAGGCCGCGGGGGCTGAATGATCCGTGCCCTGACAGGGGAAGGGTCTCGGGGCATCAGGAAACAAGTGGAAGGACACACTGCTATCATTTGAAGACTGTTTTCCCACACTGGGGGTGTCACTGCTGTCTCCATGTGTTGCTCAGAAACTGTAGGTGGTGCCCCTGGCTTCCTACAGTGGAGGGAAGGGGCTTCCTCAACAGTCCTCCCCCACCCCTGCGTTGAGAGTAAAGCCATGTCTGGGCTTTTGCCTGCAAAACACAGGCCAAGAGTGTTTTGTCTGGTATTTCTGGGCTGATGAACAAACCTAGCAATATTTGTTCTGAGGACGGACACTTCATCGGGTCTGACTTCTGGACCTAAAACTCAGGGCCCAGGCAGGGGGGACTTGTACACCTTTCAGAGCTAGGCTTTATTGTGGGTGAGGACAGCATGTCCACAGGGCCCGGGGGAAAGGTTTTTAGGGAAGCAGAAGCCTGGCTCTGAAGGAGGCTTAAGGTCCCAAGATATAGAATCTCCTTTCGATCAACAGTAGGCAGCTACAGGACCCTCAAGCCTGGCATGTGAAGGGTTGGCTGGATTCGTAGTTAGCTGAATTCATGGGCGGCAGCCTATTCTGTAAGGAGAAGAGACAGCATCAGTCACCAATGTGTCCCCCTTTCCAACCCCAGGTCCACACTAAAGGGAAACTCTCAACCACCCATGCCCACCAAGGGCTAGTGCCAGGAGCATTCACAGGAAAACTCTTTGATATTTAATTTTTCGCTTCTTGATGTCTTCCATTCACCAGACGGTGAGCTCCAGGAGGGCAGGGACTGTAACACTTTATCTGTTACTGCAGTGGGCATGGTCTCGGGTCAGGGGTAGGGCCATGCTCCCTACTGGATTGGGTGGAGATCTTGGAAAAAGCTAGAATCTCTGGTAACCTGAAAATTTGGGTGACTCGGCAGGCTCAGCCTGCTTCGTAGGGGCCCCCTCTGCTGTCCCAGCTCTCCTGGGGGACAGTAATGGTCATCAGACAGTAATGGTATAAGGTCACCTGTAAAGCATTCTCTACAGCACCTGCGGACACCCCCCCAGCAGGCCTCCCTGGGGGCTCCAGGGGTGGAGGTACCTGTTTTAGCCAATTTCCAATGCTGAAGAGTCCTCCTTGGATGGACCAGAAACTCACCCATGAGGCTTTTCAACAGTTTCACATCCAACCGCCCGAGGATTTCACAGATTAGAGGACATACCTGAGCCACCAGCACAGAGAGAAGGGTTAGGCCAAGGGCTGGGAAAGGAAAACCGGAGTGCCTGCGGCTGGAAGCTTCTATTCCACTGGATTTCCCACAGGAATCATAGCCGGAACTCCCTTGTATTGAGTTTACCAACTCCCCGCTAAATGCCATGCATAGCACTTCCCTGAATCCTCGTGACAATGACGTGAGATGGGGACTGTGATGGTTCCCAGGCTACAGATGGTGACATTGAGGCTCAGAGAAGCTAAGTCTCTTGCCCAAGAGATACACTGGCAAAACCGATGGCAAAACCGAAATTTTTAATTGAGATTTTTCGGGTTCTAAAGCCCAAGGTTTGAAATCCTTTGCGAAATTGGCAATATATGTTCCTCGAACCTCAGACTCAAGGATGCCCAAGGCGCAAATATTTTTCTCAAACGTACCTGACCTTCTACCAGGTGTGGGACAAGTTTTTCCAGGTTCTCTTTTAAATTGAAGAGCGCGTGCTTCATCTTTGATGGAATGGCCCTAGGCAGAGAGGTGGATGTATAGAGCAAAACGGATAAATCCAGGCACTCTTAATGCCAGGGAGCGTGTGCTCAGTGCACCTTAAACAGTCTTTGAACCCCCACCCAGCCCTATACAAGGGGTATATGTGATGAATAAATGAGCAGACATCCACTGAGGTCTTAATTGCTTTCAGCATTCTGGAATTACAGAGATAAATCAGGCAGAAATCTTGCCCTCAAGGGACTCACAGTCTGTCGAGGTTGACAGACTTAGTCGGCCAGTCTATGGAGCTTTATGAAAGCTCAAGTTTTTGTCTTCTTCACCACTGTATCCCTAGCAGCAGATACGGTGCCTGGCACACAGTCGATTCTTGGGAGATATATGAATGAATGAGTGATGAGGAGTTGGAGCTTCAGAGAAGGCAGGAAGAGCATTTCAGGCAAGGGGATCAGCATGTGCAAAGGCACAGTGGTGTGCAAATGCATGGTGTGCAAATGCATGGCGTGCCATGGAGGGGTGGGTCCTTCTGAGAGGCTGGAGGGCAGAGGACTGCAGAGCTGGGCAGGAGGGAGGACAAGCAGGGCCTGGGGTGACGTTCGAGAGTTTGCTCTTCATCCAGAGGCCGTTGGGAACGATTGGGGGCTTTGGAGCAGGGGTTTGGGCATGGCCAGGTTTCTGTGTTAGAAAGTTACTCCTGCCACAGGGGGCGGATGGAGGGCAGGAGGTGAGGTCCGAGCCAGGGAAAGCTGGGAGGAGGCGCCTGTAATGGTCCAGGTGGTGGATTAGGAGCTGAAGCGGTGGCCATGGGGATAACAGAAAGGGAGCAATCAAGGGTAACTAGGAGATCATTGATGGGAACTGGTGACGATGGGCTGTGGGAAGTGAGGAGGAGGAAGAGTGTGGCTTCTGGGAGGGTGGCAGGGCCATCTCTGGATGGGGACACAGGAGAAGGAGCAGATCCTGGGGGAAGGATGAGATCCGTTTTGGACTCATCTAGGAAGTGGTGGGGAAGTGAGGCTGCAGGTAGGGCCTGTCAGGAAGGGGGCCCAGCCCTGGGTGGGGGACGGGGCAGCTGAGGTCTTACTCAGGGGGGACAGTCACGAGGACAGTGCTGGGCTCTGTGTGGCATTTGCCTATCACCAGATCTCTTCGGCCAAACTCGTCTGTCTCCAGCCAGAACGCCACGAGGAGGTTCATGTGTGCGCGCATCTGTATGATGTTACTGAAGGCCCTGCAGAGAGAGAGGAGGTGGAGCAGGGGCAGGAGACAGAGAGCAGAAGGAGGTGGAAGCAGCCAATGTGAGGAGCGGCTCTCCGTGTGGGCAAAGACAGGCACTGCCCACCATCAGGGCTTCCCCTGGCACTCAGAGTCCTTTCCTCAAACCAGGCCCGGTGAAATCCTCGAGTCAGTGGTTAAGGAGAAAACTGCTATTAGCCAGAGTGACTTTTGAAAATCCCTTAAGTAGACAAGATTAGGGGCCTTTGGAAATTCAAACGTTGAGAGTTAATCTCTATTTTAAAAATCTTGGTTTGGTCAGGCGCAGTGGCTCACACCTGTAATCCTAGCATTCTGGGCGGCTGAGGTGGGAGGATCGCTTGAGTTCAGGAGTTCAAGACCAGCCTGAGCAAGAGCGAGACCCCGTCTCTACTAAAAATGGAAAAATTAGTCAGGTCCCAGGTACTCTGGAGGCTGAGGCAGGAGGATGATTTGAGCCCAGGAGTTGGAGATTGCAGTGAGCTAGGCTGATGCCACGCCACTATAGCCAGGGCAACAGAGCAAGACTCTGTCTCAAAAAAAAAAAAACTTTCCCACTGAGCTGCAGCCTTCCTTCCCTTAGGGAGGGTGGATGTGAAAAGATAATTTGAATGAGAGGCTGGGGAGCAGAGGCTGATGACAAGGTTGCAGTGGTTCTCTCTTTCTTTCTTTCTTTTTTTTTTTTTTTCGAGACAGAGTCTGGCTCTGTTGCCTGGGCTGGAGTGCTGTGGCATCAGCCTAGCTCACAGCAACCTCAAACTCCTGGGCTCAAGCGATCCTCCTGCCTCAGCCTCCCGAGTAGCTGGGACTACAGGCATGCGCCACCATGCCCGGCTAATTTTTTCTATTTTTTTTTAGTTGTCCAGGTAATTTCTTTCTATTTTTAGTAGAGACGGCAGGGGGCTGGGGGGAGGGGGTGTCTCACTCTTGTTCAGGCTGGTCTCGAACTCCTGGCCTTCAGCGATCCACCCGCCTCGGCCTCCCAGAGTGCTAGGATTACTGGCATGAGCCACCGCGCCCGGCCCCCTTCTTTCTTTAATCAAGTCCGATGTAGTGAACGCACGTAGGTTTAAACGAGCAAATGGCTTGCTTCCACTGACTAGTGATTGTCATCCATGTTTCAGCTGAAGAAACCACGGCTCAGAGAGGTGAAATGACTTGCCTCAGATCATGCAGAGAGTGAGTTGGGAAGCAAGGATTTGAATTCAGATTGGGATCAGAAAGATCGGGGCTTCCCAGGCTGCCAAGCTTCCCCCCAGCTCCCAGGTTCCAGGCAAGGAGGACCGGCACCTCTCAGATGCTGCGCCTCTGTAACTCACGGTCTCAATTCAATGTCGAATTCAAGTGAGATGTTTGCAGAGAACTGCTCCTTATGAAAAGACATCTGGATCCCACCATAGTCCAGTTGAATGTTGGTGATGTTGGTGCTATACAGAGAGAAAGAGCACAGGCCCCACATGGGTGCGGTGAGGCCTCATGCTGAGAAACAAGACTGGCCCGTCTATAAAGAGATCCTGGCAAGGGGATATGGAGTGAGATCCTTTTTCAGATGCTCTGAGGGCAAGAGCCAGGTGCAGGAGCCCTGGGCTGTGAGCCATCCCAGAGTGCCCCTAACAGTTGCACACAATTATGATTCGTACAACTGGGCCCCCACTCACCCTTGTACTGGGCCTTCCACCTTCTCTTCTTTCAGTCTTCCTTCCTTCCCTCTTCACAGGCCTCGCACCTCTATCCTCCCAGCTCTGCCCTGTGACCCAGAGCTCTATAAAGAGTCCCAAGGCCAGGGATGAGGTTTGGGGTCTCACCTGATATATTGCCGCTGCTGGAGTTTCCTGCAACCGATCAGCCAGCCCAGCATCCCCGGGTCCACCTGCACTGGGGCATTTAGACTGTCCAAAAGGTGAATGTTCTGGATTCGTCTTTCTACGTTGTACTTTATGAGGCCTTGGACAATAACTGGAAATGAGTAAAGGATCAGTGATGTTGCACAGTGTCAGGGAAAAGGTTGGGGGTTGGAGTTAGGAGACCTGGGTTGCAGGCTGATGCACCCTCTTCTTGCTGAGTGATGGGTGCATGTGACTACTTCCCCTGCTGAGATCCACATTCTTTGTCTGTGAAATTGTGCCTTGCAAGAGTGATGTGAGAAATAAAGAAAAACACCTGCAAAGGGTCTGGCAGGCAATAGCTGCTCAAAGGGGGATATTCTGGTTGGAAGTCCACTTAGCACCGTATCTCTGAGTCTGGAGCACAAAGCTACATACAGGAGGTAGGTCACAGTAAATGTTGGTTGAAGGGAAATATAGGCAGGTAAATATGGAGAGAATAAATGTAAATTATCCATTCATCCATCCTCCCTTCCATCTACTCACCTTCCCATCTGTCTATCCATCCACCCATCCATCCATCCGTCAATTCATGCATCCTGTCTTTCCCATCTGATCCCTGATTTGATTCAGGCATTCTCTCCTGGTCCAGATGAGGCCAGTTAATTATCTGAACCATCATTGTATGGCTCGCCCTCAGTGACTCTTTCAGGTTGAAAGTTGGCATGTGGTTCTATCAGACTAAACAGATCTTATGTTCTGCATTTGAGGGGAAGGTTTCTTTCTCTTTCCCCTGTCAGAAAGGAGCAAGCCAACCTGTAGCTCCAATGGCCAAACCTGGAGTTTCTCCTACCTATGACTTTCAGTTATGTGAAATGATAACTTCTTTATTGTGTCAGTCAGGTTGAGTTGGGCTTTCTGTTACCTGCAGCTAAGCACTCTAACTGATACTACAATTTCACTGACTTGACCCTGCCCTGAGATCAGGTCCCATGCTGAGAACTGTGGGTTACTCTAGAGCAGCTGCTACTGGTCATGGCAGTAAATATATTCGTCGTTGAAGAAGCACTTGGCACATACTTTCCTTCAGTTAAATCTCAAAAGCAGCTTCATGAACTAACAGTGTAACTGTATGCATTGCACAGATGAGGTTACCTTGGCCCACAACCACACACTGACATATTTGATAACCTAAACAAAATGAATACATTTATGGCAAACCATAAAATGCTGACTTTTGATGAGAGAAAATGGAAAACATCCATAATCAAAGAAATTAAGAAATTCTAAGAAATTTCTTAAATAGAAACAGTGATTGAAGATATCATTGCCAAAAAGCTTCTGACCTAGACAGTTTTATGGTGAGTTTTACCAAACGTTTATAAAAAGAAAACTGTGAACAAAAGTAGAAAAAGAGAAAGATATCAAATTCATTCTATGAGACTAGTATAACTTGCCTTAGCCTCAAGGACAGTACAAGAAAAGAAAGTTAAACATATTTGCTTTAAGTATAAAAAATCCTAAATAAATTATTAGCAAATAAAATCTAATAGTATGTTATAAAATGTTTATTTGAGAAGTGCTAGGATGGTTCAACAGCAGAAAATCCATTATTACAATTTATCATTTACTAGATTAGAGGGAAAAATTGATTAACTTTTAGATGCAGAAAAACATTTGTTAAAGGCCAATACTGACTTATGGTTAAGAAAAATTCATGAAACTAGGAACATAAGGAACTGCCTTAATCCTATAAAAGCTATAATCTAAAGACCTACAGAAAAGATACTTACTGGAGAATTCTAGACACATTCCTTCCCTATAGAAGGCCCTGGCTACAGTGAAGTATAAGAAAAAGGCACAGGACGTATAAGGCTCAGAAGAGAAAAAATAAAACTGTTACTATTTACACATGATACAATCCTCTACATGGAAAATCCTACAGAACAAATAAAACAAACCATTAGAACTATAAGATGTCAGAAAGACTTCTGAATGTAGGATTAATTTTCAATAGTTAACAGCTTTCCTCTCATCTTGTACCAGCAATACTAAATAGAAAATATAATAGATTCCCAAGTGTGATATGTGCTAAGAAAAATGTTTTAAAGAAAATATAATAGAAAATTATGTAGCATTTACTGTGGCAACAAAAACTATAGATTCTCTAGAAATCAATGTAACAAATTATGCTTGGGACATTGATAGGACTTCAAAATTCTATTATGGGATACATAGTAAAATCATAAATAAATTGAAAGATATACTTAGTTTATGATTGGGTGGTCTAACATTGCAAAAATATCAACTCCCCTAAATTAACAGACAAATTCAATGGAACCCCAATCAAATTTCCAGATAATTTTTTTAAAGAACTCAGCACACTCTAAAATTCATTTGGAAGATTAAAGGTCTATCAGATAAAATAGCATTCTACAAAGATGTAGTATTTAAAATATCATGTTATTGATGTACAAACAGATATACAGAGACAGCACAGAGAGCTCAGAAATGAATCCTCATATTTAGGAATTTGATCACTTAAGGGTTGAGGAAGCTGACTCATATGCAGAGAAGCGAAGCTGAATCTCTGTGTTACATACATAGACATACACAAAGATGACCTCCAGATGGGTTAAAATCCCAAATGTGAAAAGTAAAACTATAAAACTATTACAAAAAAAAAAACCAAAGTAGAATATATCTGGGGTAGGGGTAAGGTCTTAAGACTCTCCAAACACAAACATAAGGTAAAATATTGATGAGTTTGAAAATATTCCTGTTCAATGAAGAATGTACAAAGTTAATATATGACATTAGCAATGATTAGCAATGCTTAAATCTGACAAGGGGCTAATGTCAAGAATAAACCAATGGCTCCTCAAACCAAAGGGGATTAAGAAAAAAAAGGAAAGCAAGTAGAAAAATGGACAAAAGACCAGGGAATTCAAATAAGTCAAAATGGTTAACAAAATTATGATGAGATGTTCAACCCTCCTGCTAATCAGATAAAATCAAGCTAAAACAATTAGATATCACTCAACTACACATCAAACTGGCAAAAAAATCTTAAAGATAGTGTTGTATTAATAGACTGAGTTGTGTTCTCCCCTCCGTCAATGTGACTGTATTTGGAGATAAGGCCTTTAGGAGATAATGAAGGTTGAATGAGGTCATAAGGGTAGGGCCCTAAACCGATAGGACTGATGTCCTTATAAGAAGAAAAGATGGCAGAGATCTTTCTCTGCATGCACAGAGAAAAGGCCATGTGAGGATATATCGATTGAGAAGGTGGCCATCCACAAGCCAGCAAGAGAGGCCTCACCAGAAACCAATCCTACTGGCACCTTCATCTTGGACTTCCAGCCTCCACAACTGTGAGAAATAAATGTCTGTTGCTTAAGCCACCCAATCTGTGGTATCATGTTATGACAGCCCCACCAGACTGATACAGATGAATACTTTCCAGTGTTGGGAAACATGGAGAGACTCATTCATTACTGGAGCAAGTATAGCCTGGCACAGCCATTCTAGGGAGGATTCTGGCAGTTTTAGTGAAATTGAGTTTACATCTGCCCTAGCTGAGTTTACATCCTCCTTCTGGGTATATCCCAGAGACATTCTCCCACAGGTTCTAACAGGGACACATACAAGGATGTTCATCTCAGTGTAGTTTATGATAGCGAGGACTTAGAGACAACCTGAGTGTCTATCCCTAGGAGTGCAGCCAAATAAACTGATGCGGGTGAATGTACGGACCTCTCTGCACTGGCTGAAACAACGTAGATGTCAACAGCACAGTGTCGAGCGAAAATAGTGAAAAACAGAATGAAATATATATGGCAATACAATCATGTAAATCAAAACACCACATGTGCAAGGATATAGGCATATTTAAATATGTACATTAAACACACCGCAGTGCCTGCCAAGGCAGCCGGGACGTGGGAATGAAGATAAGGGACAAAAGGGGAAAATAACATAAAATCGAACAAAAGAGGGGCCATCTAATGATGATCTAATATAATTGGCATATAATCAACTCAACCTCAATTTTCTGTAATTAAGGTCTAAGAAGAAAAGGAAGAAAGAGGCTAAATGACCGACCCGAAGTCACCCAGCAGGTCAGGGGGAGGGTCCAGACCATGCCTTCCCACCCACCCTGAAGACAGCAGGCCGGGCTGGGGGCTTAGCTTACTTCTTGCCAGGGTAGGTCTGCTGTCTATGTGGGCCTTGGCCAGGGCAAGCTGTGGCTGCTTGTTCAGTGTTGAGGGCAAGGCCAGCAATCCGAGGAGGACGAGGAGCCTCCAGAGTGGGCGCATCTTGGGGTCTGGGACCTGCAGGTGTCAAGAAGCATCAGACGGGGCCTAGGCAGATGGCTGTGAGGGTGGCCGCCTGGATAGATGGGCTCATGGTTTTCTGCAGGAAGATAAAACCAGAGTTAGTCACCAGTATGCTGTGGGGAGGTGGTGCAATGAACTTTGGCAACTTACTCACAGGATGAGAACAGTAGATGGAACCCGGGGGTGGGGGGAGGAGGCCAGGTTTCCTGAGGGAGGCCTTGTTGCTTGGAGACGCTCACCAGAGCCCACTGTTGGGTCATCCAATAGGTGTCCTCTCCCAGACCCTGGCACAAGCTGGATATTGGTGACTCTTCAGTGAACCAATGAGTGAACGAATGAGTGAGGATGGCTAACCACAGGCTCTCCTATTGGACAAGGATTTTCTTAAGGGCAAAATCAACCATCTCTATTCCTACCACAATGCTTGCTTGCCAGAAATTAAGTGCTAATGAATGTTTGTTGAGTGACTAAATGACTGAATAGACATGTGAGGATGGCTGATCTCTGAATCCTCACCAAAGTATGAGTTTCTTTTATTTATTATTTTTTTCAAAATATGAGTTTCTTTTTTTTTTTTTTAGACAGAGTCTCACTGTGTTGCCCCGGCTAGAGTGCCGTGGCGTCAGCCTAGCTCACAGCAACCTCAAACTCCTGGGCTCAAGCGATCCTCCTGCCTCAGCCTCCCGAGTAGCTGGGACTACAGACATGCGCCACCATGCCCGGCTAATTTTTTCTATATATTTTTAGTTGTCCAATTAATTTCTTTCTATTTTTAGTAGAGACGGGATCTCACTCTTGCTCAGGCTGGTCTCGAACTCCTGAGCTCAAACAATCCGCCCGCCTCGGCCTCCCAGAGAGCTAGGATTACAGGCGTGAGCCACCGCGCCCGGCCAAAGTATGAGTTTCTTGAGTGCAGGGTGTGAGTCTAATGGATCCTCATGTCTACAGTGCCTGTCATGTTTGCCACATAGTATATACTAGTTTGTTAAATGATACAAATGAATGAATGAATGATTGGATGGATGGATGGACAGATCTTACCTTTCTGGATAAGATTTACAGTAGGGAAACAGAGAGGCTTGAAGCAGAAGCATCAGGTTTACCTTGTGCCCTGGGGTTGGGGGTCAGAGAGAATGCAGTTCAAACCCCCTGTCCTCACCATCTCGGGGAATGGCATCACATCCATCCAGATGTTCCAGCCCCAGCCCTTGGAGTCGTTCTTGACTTCTCTCATCTCACACAACTCCCACTTCCACAATGTAACCACATCTTACGACTCCCCCTCAGCCCCCATCAGCTTGGCCTGAATTATCGCAAAGGGGTCTTCGCCAGTTTCCCCACTTTCTGACCTTGCCCACCTGCGATCTCTTCCACACAGCAGCCTGAGACGTAAGTCAGACCAGGACACTCCTCTGCTCAAAAGCCCGCACGCAGAGCAAAAGCCACACCCCGAGAGATGCCTCCCAGGCCCCTCAGGTCCCCCGCGCCCTCTCGGACCTCACCTCCTACCACTCTCCCTCGCCCACTCCATTGTAGCCGCACAGACCTCCGGAGCCTGGGCCCCACAGTCCTGCTGCTGTGAGCCGAGACAAAGGCATTTTCCACTGTCCCTGTGTTCTCCCCCCATGTTGCAGCGGATGTGCAGGGTCCCACTCGGATGGGGGATGGGAATATCGTTTGCAAATTTCACAGAAACCTTTGGACCATTCTTGGGCAATTCACTCTGGTTTTGCAAGAGATTGTACTGAGAAGGCCTTGGTTCAGGGTGTTGGCTGTCCCATGTGAGGTCCTTTCTCAGACTTCATGCTCACTTTGGAGACGTTCAAAATGTGCTTTTCTAGCCTTCCTGGTCTTGTGTAACCAATTGGAATTTTGTTCTTTTTTGTCAAGAAAATTGGAGAAGAGTGGGCACCTTGGGAGGAACAAATTTGTTGTCCTTGACTCTTTGGACGATTTAGCACAGGGGATGGGGGAGCTGTTAGTCCTAAACAAAACATCCATTAACCTTCAGTTAAAGGGGACATCCAGGAAGAGTTCAGTTTGGTTTTTTATCTGTAAAATTAGCAACTTTTAAACAAATGTTTTTGATGCTTTTTGTTATTTTTAAAAGGTCTCTGAATGATAGGATGGGGCCATTATCAGATCAGGGCCAAACACAAATGTGATTCTTCCAGAAGACTGTGATTTGACGGACTATGTCCGAGATAGGAAGATGGAATTCCTGGCCCCCTTCCTACATCTTCCTGATCTCAGTGTTTCTACGCCATGCTCAGGGCTGGATCTGAAGACCTGCATTCTGGCTATGTGGCTTTGACCAAGTCATGTGTCCCCCAAGGGCCTCAGTGCTCCTTCTGTCCAGTAGGGAGTCAGAAGCACCATTCTGACTTGTCACAGGGTCACCAATTTGTCAGGAGTTTTCACAAGACAGAGAAAATGAAGTATCTTTGAGGAACTAAATCTGCTGTCTCAGAACATAACACATTTTATTTTATTTTATTTTATTTTTTTTTTTTTG